ATTCTCCTGCCTCAGCCTCCCAAGTAGCTGGGATTACAGGCACCTGCCACAGTGCTCAGCTAATTTTTGTATTTTTGAGTAGAGACAGGGTTTCGTCATGTTGGCCAGGCTGGTCTCGAACTCCTGACCTCAGGTGATCCACCCATCTCAGCCTACCAAAGTGCTGGGATTATAGGCTTAAGCCACTGCACCTGGCCAACCTAAGCTATTTCTAAAGCCCATTTCAGATAAGCAATCCTATAATTCTGTGAATATTTAATATGTCCCTTACTTGAGTGAGGGTATCTTGTGTTCCACCAGGTCACAGAGAGTGCATGGAGATCCTGCTGGCAAATAATGTTAACATTGACCATGAGGTGCCTCAGCTTGGAACTCCCCTGTATGTGGCGTGCACCTACCAGAGGGTAGACTGTGTGAAGAAACTTCTAGAATTAGGTAATTTCCAAAATTATTTTCATGAAGAAACCTATTAACTTTGTTGGTTTTCTATACCTTCAAAGATGAAGTTCTTGTCATGGTTGAAAAATATTCGGTTAGCATTTTATGTTTGAATGCTAAAAACAAAACTTCTCTAGAGAAATGACTGTATTTCTCAGTCCTGCTTTCTTTGATGTTAACTCCATTTACCTGGTATTGTTCTCCCTGGTTGTCACAAGATGGCTGCCAGCAATACCTGGGCTTACAGCCCTCCTTATCCATACACAGCAAGAAAGAGCATTGGCTCTTTTTGAGTCACATGCCCATCTTTGAACCCCTCATGGGGGCCAAGGAAATACAATACATTGGTTGGTTTAGGCCTAGATTTCAACCTACTCTGCACTTATTAGGCTTCACTGGAAACACAAGAACTGAAACTCACAAGAGGATGGTTTCCCTTCGGGAAATCTAGGTATGCTTGCCAAGAAGATGCTGGACAGTAAAAACAACAGACATTTGCTACAGGCTAGTTTATATCTATCCTGCTACAGTATCTAGTCATTTTAAAAGCAATTCTAAAAGGCATATACAGAAACCGAGAGTCTGTGGAAAAATGAACTATCTTTTTCTTTTTTTTTTTTCTGTTTTTGAGATGAAGTTTCGCTCTTATTGCCCAGGTTGGAGTGCAATGGCGCGACCTCAGCTCACTGCAACCTCCACCTCCAGGGTTCAAGCGATTCTCCTGCCCTAGCCTCCTGAGTACCTGGGATTACAGGCGCACACCACCACACCCGGCTAATTTATTGTATTTTTAGTAGAGACAGGGTTTTACCATGTTGGCTAGGCTGGTCTTGAACTCCTGACCACAGGTGATCCACCCACCTCAGCCTCCCAAAGTGCTGGAATTACAGGTGTGAGCCACTGTGCTTGGCTGGAAAAATGAAATATCTTGAAACTATTATTTGACTAAAGATTCAACAAACTTAGCCCCTGACATAAAGGTGGAGATTGTAGTAAAAACCTTTATTGTGAATTTTTATCTTGAGGAAGTTTTTGTCTTTTTTACTTCCCATCATTTACTATTCTCTGTAGTAAGTTCAGAAATCATTTCTTGAGCCCCAAATAATATAAATACTAAATAAACTTAGCTTTATCTTTTGCCCCCAAACATAATAACTATGTAACAAGAGCCTCAAATACTTTATTTTGTATGCCACACAGTTTGTATGGGAAAGCAAATATTTAAAATAATTAAAAATATCTAAATTCACTTTTCTCATCAAATAATTTCAAGTAGTCTTAGTAGGTATTGCTGAGGTTCTAGGCTTAAATCACATGTTTTCAAAGATTTGTCAAATATGTCATGGTACTTAAAATGTCTTTATATGCAATTACTATATTTGAAGCTCATTGTGCTTTACATTACCATTTAGTGTTGAATTGTGGCCATCTGTTTTGTTAAGGAGCCAGTGTCGACCATGGCCAGTGGCTGGACACCCCACTCCATGCTGCAGCAAGGCAGTCTAATGTGGAGGTCATCCACCTGCTAACCGACTATGGAGCTAACCTGAAGCGTAGAAATGCTCAGGGCAAAAGTGCGCTTGATCTGGCGGCTCCAAAAAGCAGCGTGGAGCAGGCGCTCTTGCTCCGTGAAGGTAACCAAGGGCTGGGTATCCATTCTTCTTCCATAAGCACATTCTCTCCCCTTCCTGTCTCATCTGTAGCATTTTTTTCCTTTTTCTTTTCTTTTATTCTTTTTCCTTTTTTTTTCTTTCTTTTCTTTTTCCTTTCTCTTTCCTTTTTCTAATTGAAGGTGGCATTGTGGGAGGCGACAAGCTCTGCTGTCACTGACCTGTCTTCTGGGATTTTATATGCTGTGTATATTCACTAAAAACCAAGGGGCATTTACATATAACCAGAGTGTTGCTTTGTATTTTCCATAACAAGAAAATAACCAGAAAACTGGCCGGGTGTGGTGGCTCACGCCTGTAATCCCAGAACTTTGGGAGGCCAAGGCGGATGGATCACAAGGTCAGGAGTTGGAGAACAGCCTGACCAACATGGTGAAATCCTGTCTCTACTAAAAATACAAAAATTAGCCGGGTGTGGTCGCTGGTGTCTGTGGTTCCAGCTATTCAGGAGGCTGAGGCAGGAGAATTGCTTGAACCTGGGAGGCGGAGGTTGAAATGAGCCGAGATTCCACCACTGCATTCCAGCCTGGGCAACAGAGCGAGACTCCGTCTCAAAAAAAGAAAACCAGAAAACCTTGTTTTTACCCCAAAAATCTTGAATTTCCATTTCTGTCCTGGCATAAGCATATGATTGAGCAAACCAAAACTCTTTGTAATGCTGGGAGACAATCTGATGGCAAATTCAAAAGACTTGAGTCAGAGTCAGTAGGGGAGGACACAGAGTATTTCAGAAACCCGACTAAATGGTGAGGTTGCGTGCCTGTTCCCCAGATCAGGGAGTAGGTGGGTCTGCATACTTCATTGCTTCATTCCCATTTCCACCACGGGCATTAAGAGCAACTATGATGCCAGAAGAGGTAAGGCGAGCATCTGAAATTCAGAAGAGAACTTCTTACATCTATACAGTAAGAAAATATTTTGAGCCTATATTGATTATTTGTGTGCTTGGAGAATATTAAGATAATTATCATTATTCAGCTTTACGTGTGCCAGGCACTGGGCTAAATTTGAAACATAGATCAATCTCACTGAATTTTTAAAACTTTAGAGCAGTGGGAACTTTATACGGTAGTAGCTGGTTGCTATGCCAGGTACAAATGGGAAAAGAAAAGCATAGACAAAGTCACACAGCTAGCTACATAATAGAATTAGATAAGATTCTGAGCCATCTGACCCCAGAATGTGCACTCTTTTTTTTTTTTGACGTGGAGTCTCACTCTGTCTCCAGGTTGGAATGCAGTGGCGCCATCTCGGCTCACTGCAAGCTCTGCCTCCTGGGTTCACGCCATTCTCCTGCCTCAGCCCCCCAAGTAGCTGGGACTACAGGTGCCCGCCACCACGCACGGCTAATTTTTTGTATTTTTTTTTTTAGTAGAGACGGGGTTTCACCGTGTTAGCCAGGATGGTCTCGATCTCCTGACCACGTGATCCGCCCGCCTCGGCTTCCCAAAGTGCTGGGATTACAGGCGTGAGCCACTGCGCCCGGCCCAGTGTATTACTTTCATTGGCACATTCAATACATTAATGAGATGCATTCCCTTTAGACCCCACACTGCATTCCTAACTTGCCTCTGGTTAGCCTTATTCTTCAACATTGGTAATCCAAGTACCCTTGGAAGATCATCTTAAAGAAATGCATCCCTTCCAGAGGTGCAAATCGGGATCCGCTGTCTGTATTTAGTGTCTGCTACATCATTCTATAGTTCATACAGATCCAGCTTCTCTTCTGCTTTTAGAAAGTTTCCCCTCTTCCAGTTCTCTGATTTCCCCCTTCCACACCATCTCCCACCACTATGAAGTTAACACCATTTTCATTTCTCTCTCAGGCCCACCTGCTCTCTCCCAGCTCTGCCGCCTGTGTGTCCGGAAGTGTCTCGGTCGAGCATGTCATCAAGCCATCCACAAGCTACGTCTGCCGGAGCCACTTGAACGATTCCTCCTATACCAATAGTCCTAAGTGTCCCTGGGAAGATACTTGGAATGACACAGATTATTGTCTGCTGTACCTAGAGTACCTAGTGTGGAAGCTCAACAGCTAGACTCTTAGTATCTTCAAATGAGCTCAGTTGAAGTAAATCCCCCATGAGCTAGAACACTTGAGGAGTGGAAACTCCTGGTTAGTGTAATGTTCTTATTAACCAAGGGGCAACTAGAAACCGTTTAGCTTTTAGCTCTTGTTGTTAAAGAAACTTAAAAAAACTGTGAATAGAGTGAAAACAATAGGCTATTTTTTGATGATTCAGGATCTTCTTGTACCTAAAAGTCAACATTCTGAATATTGTATAGACACATATAAATTCAGGTGGATAAGATTATAACAAGTGTTAGGTTTTCCAAGATATGTTCTTGATTCAGTTCTTCCCTTCAGCCCTTCCCCACTTTTTTCTTTCTTTCCTTGAATTAATCTGCTATAATTTTGGTTTTTTTGTGTATGTATATATATATATACACACACACATGCACACATATATTTAATGTTTTCAAAGTCCTTAATATATGTATAAAGCTTATATATATGTTTTCAAAGTTCTTTATATATAAAGTTATATATATTTATATAGACTTTATATATATACATATACAAAGTTAAGGACTTCAAAAACATTGTGTAGTTAACTGAGGCTTCCAATTACCAAGGTCCTGGTTGATAAGAAAGACTTTGGAACAGATCAGTGCACCCAGAGTTTGGCATCTTATTGCTTCTGATATTCAATGCTGTTATTTGAAGTAAGCAGTTCTAGGATTGAGAACACTGGGTGTCCCCCAACAACCTGAACCCACAGTCATTGTCTGAGGCATGTTGCAACCCAAGCACTGGCTTGTTTTCAAAGTCAAGATCCTCAGGGTTTTTGAAATAATTACATATTGATGCCAGCCACCAAAGTGGATTCAATGCTGGGTCATTATTTTTTTCTGTGGATAGGGGCCCAAAATAAGCACAAAGGTATATAAAAAGAGGCTTCTCCTTTTCTGTCTTCTCCTTCTTCTCATTTCTCTCTCCTTCTGCCACCCCTCCTCTTCCTCTCTTCTTTCTCCTTTTTGTGAATTTAAAACATGGGAACTGGATAGACTTTTAATTGTTACAAGTATTACTGTCATGGTTCAGTGTTCGGTTCTAAAATGAAAATTTCCTCTCAGATCATCCTAAGACTCATTTCACACATGTATTTTTTCCCCAGTTTTTCTAGACCTTTGGCTCTCCACTGGAGACAATTTTGCCCCACTCCCACTGAGACATTTGTCAATATCTGCAGACATGTTCAGTTGCAACAACTGGGGGAGAATTGCTGCTGTCATCTAGAGGGTGGAGACCAGGGATGCAGCTAATCACGCACAGTGCACAGGAGCCTGCAACCAAAAATTATCAAGTCTGGCCGGGCACGGTGGCTCACGCCTGTAATTCTAGCAATTTGGGAGGCCGAGGCAGGCAGATCACAAGGTTGGGAGTTTGAGACCAGCCTGGCCAATATGGTGAAACCTCATCTCTACTAAAAATACAAAAGTTAGCCAGGCGTGGTGGCAGGCGCCTATAGTCCCAGCTACTCAAGAGGCTGAGGCAGGAGAATTGCTCGAACCTAGGAGGTGGAGGTTGCAGTGAGCCGAGATTGCACCACTGCACTCCAGCCTGGGTGACACAGCAAGACTCTGTCTCAGAAAAAGAAAAAAAGAAAAAAAAAGAATTATCAGGTCCAAAATGTCAATAGTGCCGAGAGTGAGAAACCTTCCTCTAAGCCTGTGCTATTCAATACAGTAGCTACTAGTGACATATAGCTAATGAGCACAGGAATTGTGGATAGGCTGAATTAACATGTGTTGTAAGTGTAAAATACATATTGCATTTTAGTGATTGAGTAAAAAAAAAAAGAATATGAAATATTGTGAACTTTGTTTTCTTTTGTTTTGTTTTCTTTTTTTTGAGACGGAGTTTTGCTTTTGTCACCCAGTCTTGAGTGCAATGGCACGATCTTGGCTCGCTGCAACCTCTGCCTCCCGGGTTCAAGCGATTCTCCTGCCTCCGCCTCTGGAGTAGCTGGGATTGCAGGCATCTGCCACTAGGTCCGGCTAATTTTTGGTATTTTTAGTAGAGACAGGGTTTGACCATGTGGGCCAGGCTCGTCTCAAACTCCTGACCTCAACTGATCCACCCGCCTCTTCTTTTTCTGTTTTATTTTGTATTTTTTTGTTTTGAAATATTAATAACGTTTGATGTTGTATTTTTAATTTTTTGAAAACTTCCATACTGTTTTTCATAGTGGTTGTAGTAATTTACATTCCCACCAATAGTGTATAAGAATTCCCTTTTCTCCACATCTGCACCAGCATTTGTTATTTTCTATTTTTTGGATAGCCATTCTAACTGGCATAAGATGATATCTCATTGTGGTTTTGATTTGCATTTTCCTGATGATTAGTGATGTTGAGCATCCTTTCATATACCTGTTGGCCATTTGTATGTCTTTTTTTGGAGAAATGTCTATTCAGATCCTTTGCCCATTTTAAAATCAGATTATTTGTTTTGTTGTTGTCAAGTATGGTCCAGCAATCCTATTACTGGATATTTATCAAAAACAAAGGAAATCAATGTATGGAAGAGGTAGTTACACCCCCATGTTTATTGTAGCTGTATTCAGAAGAGCAAGATATGAAATCAACTTAAATGTTTATCAGTAGATCAATGGATAAAGAAAATGTGGTATATATACAAAATGAAATACTATTCAGCCTTTAAAAAGAAGGAAATTCTGTCATTTGCAGCAACATGGATGAGCCTAGAGGACATTATGTTAAGTAAGTCAAGCACAGAAAGATAAACACCATATGTTCTTGCTTACATGTGGAAGCTAAAAAAATTGAGCTCACAGAAATAGAGAGTAGAATTATGCTTATTAGAGGCTGGGAAGGGTAGTGGGGAGCGGGCAGTAGGGAAATGTTGGTTAATGGATACAAAATTATAATTGGATAGAATAAATAATTTCTAGTGTTTCATAGCACTGTAGGGTAAATGTGGTTAACAATAATTTCTTATATATTTTTGAAAAGCTAGAAGAGAAGATTTTGAATGTTCATAGCAGAAATGATAAATGTTTGAGGTGACGGATATGCTAATCACCCTGATTTGATCACTTCTAGGTATTAAAATGTCACTCTGTACCCCATATACAGTTATTACATACCAAATAAAATTAACTGAAAAAGTTTTTGATGTTGATCACACAGTGAAATGATAATCTTTTGAATATATTAGGTTAAATAAAATGTATTATTAAAATTAATTTCACTGGCTTTCTTTTTACTTTTTTAGTGTGACTATAATAACATTTTACATTACATGTGTGGCTCACATTACATTTCTATTAACAGTACTCAATCATTTTCTGATTTTTAAATTTTGGCATATCTAATAATCTTAGTTAATTATCTGGGGGGAAAGGTTACATTTTAATCTTACATCGTATTTCCAAAACAAATCTTGCTTTTTAAAAAAAAATTTAAAAATTAAATAATGCTATAAAAATACTATAAGAAAATATACATGAATATACATGAAAGGAAAAGCATTTTTGAAATATATCAAAGGCAGAAAGGTTAAAGGAAAATACCGATAAATTGGAATACATCAAAAATTATGTTGCAAAAAATGCCATATATAAAATCAAAATGCAAACCAAAATAGAGGAAAACTGTACGTGGCATTTATAGCAGATCAAAAGTCAATATTCTAGGACAAAGGTGATCATCACATCCCACTCTTAGCTTTCTCCTGTTCCCAGTGGAGAATTCTGGTGAACAAGGATGTAAATATTACCCAAATCTTGAGTAAAGTCTAAAACGTATATGATACTTTGTGCATTTTTTAGAAGATATTAAGGAAAGAACCTAGATTATTTATCTGGCTCTACATGCTATAATATATGTATTGCATGACGTGGTGGCAAAACAATATGTAAACTTACCTGTTTCAGGTGGGATCAAATTCTCCTTCTATGAGAGATGTGACGAGAAAAACTGAAGAGTGTTTACAAACCTTGGGAAAGTCAATTTTCACAAATCTTGAGGAAGGTACAGCGTAAGTCCAATGGTCATGAAAGGAGGTACAATTCATTGTGCCCCAAATATTAAAGGGCAGAGTGATCTCAGCTGATATCTACATTTCAACATATAAATAGTTCATTTACAAATCAATAAGAATAATATAGGTTCATGAATAGAAATATTAGCAAAGGGAATGACTAGGAAGCTTATCAAATAACATACAAATAAATAGTCATAAGAATGTTAAAGATAGAAAATTGATTGAAAGAAAGGACGGATTTGAAACAGGATGAGGAGCCGTTTGAGCCATCATTAGAAAGAGGAAAGAACGGAGAGTCTCTTCCTATCCTAGAACGTTTAGAAATTGGAGACTTTCCTTCAATGTGTTCTCACGAATGTATTTTGTTTTGTTTTGTTTTTTGTTTTTTTGGTCAACTGGGAGCTTGCTGAATGTCTGAGTACTGTGTTAAGCCCTGGGAGGCTCTAGGACATTCAACCAGTCTGTGACCCCAGGGAAGTGTTCCATTGCCCACTTCAACTGCAGACCATGGATGCCACAAATCATCTGTATGGACCTCCCAACAATGGTAGGCCTGTATTTGTGTTGCGGGAGGTGGTGGCACTCAAATCCTGAACAACTATTCACCAGAATTCATCTGATTGTCCAGGTCCCTGAATCCTAGAGTGGTGCCAATGTCTTACAATTTATGAATGAAAGTATTAGACATGAGGTAATCTTTAAGTTCCTTTTAAGGCCTAATCCATTAAGCTATATTTAGACCATCAGACTAATCATCTGGTTTTTATGACATTATTTTGTTACCAACTTTAGATCTAGGTTTGTTCTGCTTGCATGCAGTAGTGATCACTGTGACACAGGTTTTGCAAAAGAGAAAAGATTTATTTACAAGGCTGCCA